TGTGGGAACCACAGGCACTTACCATTTTTAATTATTCATGTCTATACTTTATTGCGAAGCTTTTATCTCGGCTTGCATTTCAGGATTTGGGCATTTGCAACATCCTGGCGCTGACTCGACCCTCTCTGTTCATTTATTTCACAAACGTTTTTAGAGTGACCACCATATGCTGTCCCAGAAGCTGGGGCCAGGGGGAGAACATGTGGGCTTTTCCTCAAGAAGGCTGTCGCTCGGTACCAGAAAAACTGCCATCCGCTAAAAACTTGCGAGATGTCAGGGCTTGCTCTGAGAGCTTTGTAATCCTTGCCTCACTTGATCTTCTGGGAGGAAGGTGTTATTTTTTTCTCGTCCTTACAGATGAGACCAGGATGTGGAGCTAGTTAGGAATTCACGTAGGGTAACACGGCTGGACACGGGTGGGCAGTGTCTCACCGTTACTCTAGGTAGAGATGGTGTGCAGGCTGCAAAAGGGGGGATTGGGAAGGGAATTGACGTCACAGCAGTGTGGACGGGTGTGCTCACCCAGTTCTGAGTTCGTGGCATATTAGCCTGTGTCACCCGCAGAGGCAAACTACAGAAGAAGAAAGAATGAGAATCAGTGTAGAGTTAGGGGCAATGGAGGCTGGCACTCAAGGTCGGGGCCGGGGGTAGGGGCGGTTCTGGTCCTTTTAGTGCAGGCAACAGGATGTGCTCCAGGTGAATGGGGTGGAGGCATCCCTGGTGACTGGCCAGCTTCCCCTCCACGATCCCCCTGCTTCCTGTCCCCCCAGGTCCTGCCCTTGCCCATTAGAGTTAGGCAGGCTTAGGAAATGGCTGGGGACTTGGGAGATGGGGAAGCAGTGGTCCAGGTGTGTGCTCCAATGTGGAGCAAGGGCAAGAATGGCCCTCTTCGGTTGGGGGCACGAGTTGCTCCCCTGCCTGCATTTTAGAGGGGTCACCAGGCCTTAGTACCAGGCAGCGGCAGGTGCTGCTGAGGAAAGCCAGCATCTGTGTGTGGATGGGCCTTTCTAGGCACCGTGAGACATTGTTCTTTGTGGCCTCCTAAGGGTGGCTTGCCATCTTGAGTGGGACTTGTGTTGAGAACATGGTCTGTGCCTCATAGTGAGGACAAGTTCCCTGCTTTCCTGGAAGTGGACCATTGTTGAAAATCCAAGTACAGTAAAACCTTGGTTTCTGAGCATAATTCATTCCGGAAACATGCTTGTGATCCAAAGCACTTGTATTTCAAAGCGAATTTCCAGAACCATTGGCTCAGTTGTGATCATGTGACGTTTGACGTCATGTACTACTCCTATGGCAAGACTTCACTTGTTCATCAAGTTAAAATTGATCAGAAAGGCTTGCTCTGTTGCGGGACACTCGCAGAACAAGTTACTTGCGGTGCAAGGTTTTACCGTATATAGAAAACTATATGTTATGCTTTAAAACGACCTTGGTTGGATTCATCCCTAGATGGCAAATACAGCTTCGTAGGGCAGTGTGGGCTGTGAGTGCTGTGACCTCTACCTGAGGCTGAAAACCCTTCACCACTGCAGGCGGCTGGGTGAGCACCAGGCAGTTTCTGGCACAGAGCTGGCCGAAGGCTGTCCTTCCGGATCGTCTTAATCCTCCTCGTTTCTCTCTCCCGATAGCCTCCCTCCCCTCCACTACCTTTTCTGCTGTTCTCTATAGATTTGCTCTTTCATTTTCTGAGTCTTCTCCTTCTTCTCCCGCCTGCCCAAAAATCCAGCTCAGGAAAATTAGGAATTTCCACACAGTAAGTCACATTGAGTATAAATAGCTAACAATGTCTTGAAAAAAAAAAAAAAAAAAAACAAAAATTTTTAAAAAAAAAAAAAAAAAAAACCAGACTTAGGTCAAAAGAATAATTCTCTATAGGTGGATGGTGAGATTTCATATACCAGCTATTAACTAAGGGGCTACCTACTGGTCAGGTTAAATTTCTGGTACCCTGTGGCAGTCAGGATCGTCTGTCATGCTGTGGTAACAAATATCCTTCCCACCTCAATGACTTAAAACAGCAAAGGTGTATTTTCCACTCGTGCTACATGGCCAGCACAGTCATCGAGTATCTCGGCTCTATGTTGTCACCGTCCTCACGGTCCAGGCTGATGGAGCACCGCAGGTAGCATATCACGAGTGCTCATGTGCCATGGCCCAGAGCAAGTGACTTGGCCAGCCTGCCGTGAAGGGGGTGGGAAGCCGTCATGCTCACTCAGGGAGGGAAGGTGGCTATTGCTGAACAGTGACACAGTCCTATCCCCTATGCACGGCCCAACCTCGTACACCTGCCTCACCTTTAGCACATACTCCCTGTAGCCCTGCAGGCTTGGGGGCAGTGTTCAGGGTATGAGTTTTGTTATAAGGAAAGCAGGACAGGTTTGGAGAAAGTGATCGGTGTGCAAGTGACCTGCCCCTGCCTCCACTTATTCTGCTCGGGCCAACAGCAGCCCTACCAATCCCGGGAGAGTGCTTGACCACAGCGCCCGGCTCTCTACACCTGCAAAAGATAAGCCGCTGGCTGCAAGGCAAGGAATTCGTCTCCTAGAGAGAAAATATTCATGGGAGAGGATGTGGCCTGATGTGGAAAGTAATAGCGGCATAGTAGTCGGGTGGGGAGACGACCAAGTGACCAGCTTTGTGGCCGACTGCTTTCTGCCAGTCCCACTGCCCGCGTTCCTCCCGCCACCCATTCGTGATTTACTGAACACTTGCTCTGTGCTGGATGCTTGCTAAGCTTGGGTAACATACATTCGGCTGATATGGTCTCTGCCTTCAACAGTCTTACAGTCTAACAATCAAAGTACATACATGTCCTTTTTCATAAGATGTTAGATACTTACTTTTTGGCAATGAATCAATAAGGCACTGTTACAGAATGAATTGTGCCCCCCCTCCCCCCAATTCAGCCCTAATCCTCAATGTGACTGAATTTTGGGGTAGGGCCTCTAGGGAGGTAATTAAGGTTAAGGGACACCACAGAGTGGGGCCCTAACCTGATGAAAAGAGACAGTCGAGGCCTGTCTCCATGCACACATGACGAAAGGCTATGTGAGGACACAGAGGGTAGTTCTGTGCAAGCCTGAGAGAGAGGTCTCCCTCGAAACCAATCCCGGCACGTTAATCTTGGACTTCCAGCCTTCGGAACTGTGAGAAAATAAATGCCTGTGGTTTAAGCCCCCCAGTCTGGTGTTCTGTTACGGCAGCCTGAGCCGAGGAATACGGCATCTATTCTCAATTTGTTATTGAGGCCCCAGGCTGGATCCACTCTTTTGTCTGTACAGTATCATTTTTATGACTAATAACAATACCGCATGCACGCACGTGTGACCCTTCGTGGCGCTCAGGGTCTTTTTTTCACTTTTGTTATCTAAATCGGCCTTCCCCCCCGCCCCGTCTCCTGGGTTTCATAGAACAGCTAGAAGTGTCTTCAGGTCATGGATAAGGAGACCAAATCACGGAGAAGCTCAAGGTCTGCTCAAGGTCATGGTGGTTGCTTGTGATAAAGTATGAGGTCATACAGGTAAAGGAGTCTGTGGACGTGGCAGGAACTTGATCGTGTGTGGAATCTGATTGGAACTTTCACACTAAACCATCGTCCCTGCCACAGCCTGCCTCATGATGTAGGAAAAGGGAGAAATGCACTTTCCTCGTCAGTTGGAACTACCGAAAGAGACAAAAACCACCACTCCGATCTCAATCCGTGCAGTCTGGGCTGGTCTTGGGGTCACTAATTCCCGCTCTCCCTCCTAGCTGTCATCTGTTCCCTCATGGCCCCCAGGTTGAAGGTGCCCGTCATTGGTCGCCGGCCACAGGAGGTGTCTCCCAGAGGTGATAGTGTTTTGGTCTCACTGTGGAGCTGTGCTGGCCCCTTAGCAGCTCCCTCTTACGTCAGGAGGGGGTCTCTTCTGGAAGGTGGGAGAGTTCTGTGAGGCAAGCCAGGACTTGCGGACTTGGCACCAAGTCAGAGGTCCCATGTTGGTGAACTTCCCGCCCTCACACTCGGGGGGGCTCTCCTTTGAAGGCTGGAGGAGCCGGGGGGCGCCGGGGGGGGGGGGTGGCGCAGGGGCAGCAGGGAGACGGGGGAGGGCAGGATTTGCTGTTGAGTGCTTAGGGTCTGGCTTACTTCTCCCACCTCTCCTCCTCACTCTGCCCCCTTGTACGTTTCCTTCCCTTCCTCATCCTCTTCCTGCTCTCTTCTCTGGTTTTCACCTTGAATGGCAAGAGTGGTGGAGACGTGGAGCTCAGCCTTCTCTGTCTGCTGACCCGGGGGAGGCTCAGAGAGGCAAAAGCATCTGCCCGAGGGCGGCCAGTTGAACACGCAGCAGAGGGCACAGAGTCGCCGGGCCCACACCGCCCCGTCTGCTTGCGCTCCCCTTTCCCCCTGGCGCTGCCGCCTGGACGCCAGCCTGGACCACGGAGGGACGTGGGTGGGGGGCAGACGGCCGCCTCTTCCCTGCCCCCTGCCCCCGCCGCCACGCCTCCTAGTCTCTTTCTCCCCCGTCCTACTTCTACACTAGGGGCACAACTGGGGTCAGGATTTCTACCCTCTATCAGAACGCTCGGGGACAGAGAGACTGATACAATCACGTATGCCGTACGTGTAGTTGGCTTAAGAAGACTTAAAGCGGGGATGGCAACTCGTGTTCTCTCGGGCACCAACTCTATCTAGCGGGTCAGTCGTGTGTGCCTGGAGGGCTGTGTTGGGAAGGATTCAGAGGCTGATCCGGCTTCGTGCGGAAGTGATGTGTGCGGACAGCACTGGCCGGAAGTATGCTTGCTCTCCCTTGCTGGGAGGACTATCACCTCCAGAGACAGCTGCTTTGTAACCGAAGCCAGAGCCTTAAGTGGAAGAATTGACCGCTGGTGGTTGAGTTTAGACATCATGGAGCTGGAGAGGGACGCTTCCATATCTGTGCACCACGGAGGCCTATTTATGGCCAGCTTTTGCCTCTCCCCCCTTCCAGCCAGACACATGAAGAAAGACCCAAATCCCAAACTGCATTTTTATTATTTTTTAATAAACTTTATTCTATATTACAAATAGGTTTTTTTTTTTTTTGTTCTGAACTGCAAAATAGGAATGCCTTATATTTACATACACAGGTATACAATTAATTATAACAAAGGTACAGAAGCTTGCCTTTACCAAGTTACAACTGGGCTCCAATTTAAATAGCATAGGTTTCCTTTTTAAAAACTTTACTTTTTAAATCTTTTTTTTTTTTAATCTTGCTAGGATACTCTTTTTTTTTTTTTTTAAATCAAAACCAGAAGACCCTCTTCCTCCAAAAGATTTCATCCACCTATCTTTGAGGCTCATTGTAACACTGTTGTCTAAAGATATGTTTTGCTTTGTTCTAACAAAGGGTCAGTGTTCAAGGTGGGAGCTTTATGGAAACAGAGGTGGGGCGGGGCTGGAAGGGGGCGACTGGAGCAGGAATGACCCGCCCTACCTCCTTCAGCAGCCTCTCTCTGAGACTCAAAGGCCTCTGCCTGTTCCTCAAACCACCCATTCATTCTTTCCTGTTCTCCTCTTCCCGCTAGTATTTGACTTGACTCTGGGTTGTGTGACCAGGCCAGACTCCGCTTCCCCTGCACCTCGGCTCATGGAGCCGTTCTCTGTTGGTGGTACCCTGGAGTTGCTGGTTACAATGGTGACTTGGCAGGACCCTGCTGGCAGAGATAGGCTGGTCCTTACCAGCTAAGGTGGGGAGGAGGCCAGCTGCACCCAACCCTTCCTGTCTATCTCAGGGCCTGGGGCTCTTGTTCTTGGTCAACATCGCCATCACACGACTAAGCAAGGACCTCAGGCCTCAAGCACACCAGACCCAGGCAAGGAGTGATGGAGGGGAGGGTCATCTACTCTAGAACACAAAGTCATTGGTTTCCAAATGGAAACAAGATTCTTTGAGGTAAACTAGCTTTTCTTTTTAAAGAACGGAAGGTTGAACGAGCCAACAGCTGGGGAGAACATCAGGGAAGGGAGAAGGAAGGAGAACACACGAGACACGTATCCCATCTTGGTCGTGGGCCTGACTTGCATCCAGCAGTCCTGTTTGGTACACGGTCTCACTTTATTAAGCGTCCTTTGTGTTGCTCTTTAAGCCATATCCTCTGTTTTGAATTCCACTCTTGGAAGGGAGCCCTTCCAAAATGTGCTTGAGTCATAAGATCAAAGATACTAACAAAAGATGTTCTAATTCCAGATTTAAAAAAAAATGGCGGAAGATGAGCTTCATAGCCCGTGCCTATTTGCCATGGGCATTTGCATTCTCAGGGGAGGGGACTTCATCCCTCCATGACCGATCCTTAACAGGGTGTCCCTAGGGTTTGAGGGAAGCTGATGGTAACCGCACGGGACTCAGCCACACCAGGGGCAGCCCAGAGAGCCAAGACTGGACAAAGCGAAAGGGGGTGAGGAGAAGGGAAGGTGGGGTGCACCCAGCTGAGGGCACAGAGCCCCCCACCCACCTCACTATCTCTGCCAATACAGACAGACACCTCTTTTCATTTATTAGGGCTTTTGTTTCATTTAGCTTTGCTTTGGGGGTTGTCACCAGTCTACTCAAGGAATTTGAGACTCTAATGAGTATGATTACTTCTACAACCAAAAAAATCCTATTTTATAAAGTTGGATACTCCCCCCTACTAAACACAAACCCCACAATTTTTATCGGGGAGCAAAGATTTGTAGTTAAAAAAAAGGTCGCTTTTGAAAGTCTGAAATTTTTCCTACAGAGACTCCTTTCTGAATGGGAGGAATGGTCTTTATAAGTTTTCCAGCGGAGGGCCCCCTACTCTCAGAGGCTCATGGTGTCCCAGCCTCTGGAGCTGCCTCTCCAATGTCACCTGTGGCCGTACCTCAGCTTCCTGCTCCGTAAAGGCTCTCGTTTGCCACCCCTGTAGGGGTGAGGTGGCAGGAGGCAGGTGGAGGAGGGGTAGCATTGCAGGCCCCAGCTATCAGAGGTGCAGGGGAAGCACCAAGAGTATCAGCTTCCCCAGGACTGGCGCGTCCACATCTGGGAACTATTTGGATCCATTTTCTAACAACGGGGAGCCCCTCCCCCCCCCCAGCCCTGTGGCTCTCTTCATCCCTGCAAGTCACAGGTGAAGAGTCTTGTTTCTTCCTTCCAGCAATTTGGACTTTTCACCCACACCTGGGCTCCCTCCTTAATCTCAAACATATACAGACAAAAAATTACCAACCTCAAACCCCAAACAAACAGCCCACATACAGAATAAAGAAACAAGGAGGGGCTGAGGGGTCAAGGGCCCTCTGTCACCTGTCCTGGGAGCTGACTGGAGGCATGGGGGGCTGACGGGAGGGCCTTGATGTGAACTAGGAGCAAGGAGAAAGGCCACGAAGGAGCCAGGATCCGCCCAGGGTAGGGTCTTCTCTTGGGGACTCTTGGTGCCTGGGGGTTAGTCCTTCCCAGGAATGCCTTTCGGAGGCCCTTCAGACTCTCTCTGGGACTGCCTGTTGGGACATCCCTGAAGGGGTGTCTCTGGGCCTCCCTGCCTCTTCCCCTTCCTCCTTGCTCTGTGAGAGGTGGGAAAGTTTGTTCTTGATGAATAAGCTTAACCTTCACTAGGTTAAGTATTTGACTTTACATCCTATGAAGCCAAAGGCAGTGTCCCCTTATTCCTAAGAACGGAGACAGATGGAAAATAGGGTTTTGCCTATTAGGTCAAAGCGAGCCCCATCTTAATAGGTTGTTAAGGGCTCTGGAAACATCAGCAGGACTTGCCTCTTGGACTGGAGGGTGCTTGGGAAATCATTGCTTGTGGCTCCTCTGCTGGGGGTCCCCAGGGCCTGACCCTCAACTACTCATGGAGGCATTGTCAAAAGGGTGTGAGGGGCCTAGGGCCTCCCCAGGGTGGTGCGGGGGAAGGGGTGCTGGGCTGTGAGGTCGGAGGCTCCGGGTAAGAGTGGATGCATGGCCTTGGGGCAGAGACTGCAGGTGAGGGGGATGAGGGGACACACTCCCCTCTGCAGGGGAGGGACACCCTCAGAAGCCAGACATGCAAGAGGGACATGAGCACAAGGACCTCGGGCAGGGGGAAGTGGGGTGCTGGGACAGTACCTCGACATTAGCCCAAGGCTGGCAGGGGGCGGGGTGAGACGGGGGCCCGAGCGGACCAGGTCAACGACCTTACCTGTCGGCGACTCCCGCTTCTGCCTGGCACAGTCCTGGACAGTCTGCTTCACTTTGGGGTTACTGAAAATGACTTCTCTCTCGACCGTAGCCCTGCTCAAGCATCCGGGGCCTGACCCGCCAGCCCACCGGCTCCCGAGAGGGAGGGTCTAGGGCGCCCTGGGGGTGTGAGCCTACTTTGGCCTGTGAACACTCAGGTTGTCCTCGGTCCCCAAATTCAGACCACATTGAAAGAAGGCAAGAAAAAAATATTTTCCTGAGGAATTAACTGACACCATAGCCAACTTCACTGAGTGGTACCGCCTGCAGTTACCGAGAGATGTGGGGGTCTCTCCTTCCGTGGAAGGACAAAGGATGGCAAAGCCCACACGTGGGGAGACTCATGCCCCGCGAGAGGAGTGACCTGCCTGCAGCTGTCTTTCTCAGCTTCTATCCATCCATCCTTTTCAGTTCGGGACCCCACCAAGCTCCCCACCTCCTACCACTACCAGCCTTCAGCCCATCTCCCTTCTACATTCAAAATCCCCACCTAACCCATGTCAGTTATTCTGACTGTGGGATCTCCCAGCACCATCTCAGGGGTGGAGGGTGCAGGAGGTGGTTGAAGGGAGAGGTGAGAGGAGATGGGCCTTGTCTCCCTTCCTCTCTGCCTGGGACTCAAGGAGTTAGATAAAGATTCCACCTTAAACAGAGTTATGACCCTGGAAATTCACTGTCACGGGGGGGGGGGGGGGGGGGCCTCGGGGGGGCTCCCTTCCACCGGACCAGTCTGCCCAGCTCCCTTCTCTGCGGTGTGCTGGCCCACATGTCCCCCCGGGCAGCTCTCGGGGTCTCTGGCCTGCCCGGAGGAGATCGGGGATCCCAAGGGGAGTTCTGGAAAGAACATGGGGGAGGCAAGGACAGCTTTTTGACAATGCTGCCTCGTCTGTACTTTGAAACGTATCACACATGCACCATGAATCCAAACGGAAGAAATGGAAAACAAACAGCGAAAGGAAAGAGAATTTTTGTGGGCAAGACAGGTTGCAGCTCTGGGTGAGTCTATCCTCTCTCTCCAGCCCGAGCAGGCTGCAGAGGCTTCGGCAAACAAAACACCAGCAGCGACCCACACCTGCCCCCCGCCAACAATTAGGGTAAAATCTGTCCTCAAACCCTCTTCTGGGAGAAAGGAGGAGAGCCAGGAGACTGTCTGTCCTCTCCTCTTTCTTCCTGACATTGAGGTTTCTCTGAGGGTTTTGAAGTTTCTCTTGTGACAAAACATGGCGGGGGTCAGGGGGGGAAGTTCTGTACCGACAAAGGAACGATAACAACAATAATAATAATCCGGTAAAAAATAAAAGCTTCAGCAGAACCATGATAACAGTCTTCTTGTCTGCCTGTTCATTTTTTTCTAACTGTGCAAAACTTAAAAAATAAATCAAACACACTCACTCATACATGCGCTCACACATACACTCGCTTGCATTCAGCAAATCTGTTAAATAGGTTTGTGTCTCTCACCTCCCCAACCCCTCATGTGTGCAAATACATCTCAGTGGCCGTGGAGCCTCCTCCGCCTGCCTCCCACGTGCTTGCTTTCCGGCCAGGGCCCGTGGCTTCTTGGGAGGAAATAAAATGGTCAAGGGTAGAAATCCCACGCTCCTCACCTGGCACTTTATCTGCCAAACCTTTGGTTATTTTTCCCCCTTGGCGTGTGTCTCATCCCCATCCTCCCCTTCCTGTCGTTAGGCTACTTGTGTTTTGTCCCCATTTGTCCTCCTTGACGCCACATAATGCCCTGCTGTGGGTCACCTCCACCCAGCCTCTAGTCAGGTCCAGGCCGCTTTCGGCCAGTGACCACCCTGGTTTCCTACAGACAGGTGGCTCTCCTTCCATCCACCCGTGCTCAGCATGGAAAGCTAGCGTTGAAATGTCCTGAAGCTGCGATGAATGAGCAAGGGTGGAGAAGGGAAACACTTCACAGTCCCCTACATAGGACAAGGAATCCTTCTGAGCTCTCTGCCTACTTCTGGGGCAGACACACCCACGCGTGCACACACACACACACACACACACTCACACATGCACACATATTCAGACCCAAAGGGGCTAGCGTTCTTAAAAGTACAGGGTGCTCCATAGACTTTGCTGGAAATGGAGCGGTTCCTTCCTCTTTCCAATGGGGGCTCATTTTGAGTGGATTGCAGGGAATAACGTCTGATGCTCGGGGAGTGAAGGCAAGACTGGAACCCTCACCCATAACCACACCTTAGATGATGCTTCTCATCTCTCAGAGTGGTGTACAACTAGCCACCAAGGCTGCCAGGAGAGAATCTTGTTTATGGTGGGAAACTGGGTCAGATGGCATCTAAGGTCCCTTCAGGATTAAGGTTTCCGTGACCCCTCTTTTGGACCGTTTCTTACCACAGCCCCTGCTCACCCATGTCTCAGCACACATTTGCCTGACAAGCTGAAATGATCCATCCAGAGATGGAGGGACAGATGGAGAAACAGACGCCAGGGCTGAGGTCCATTGTATATCTCTTCTGTCGCTGCTGGCCACGTCCTTCAGCTAGAGTTCTCGGTCCGTCCCGGACATGGCAAGCTGGGGGCTGAGTTTGGCTGGCATTTTGGTTTGTCTCCATGAGGCTGTGCTTGAGTGTGATTCTTTCCATAATGACTGGGGAGGAGGTGAGGAAGGGCAGTGACTGAGGAGACAGAGGATGTTGAAGGAGTCATTGCCAAGGAGGTCTGGACAGTGGAATGACAAAGTCATCTGCATAGCAATGGCACCAGGCTCTGCAGGGGGGCGGGGGCTCGGCTCTCTGCCCCAGCATTCTCTAGAGTTCTCAGGAAGGGTGGTGAGGATGGAGCCATAAAGGCGGCTGGAGGTAGAATCTCCTGGATGTACTCTGCATTTTACATTGACCCTTGATGAGCGCCAACCAAGGAGGATGCAGGTGCTTTCTCTGGACAGCATCGAAGATCTGGCAATCGATTAGACCCATGACCACGGGCGTGCTTCACTTGCACTTGGGGGGGCTGGGTGGTGAATGAAAAACAACAAATTCTGCTTCCAGGGTGGATGCAACTCTCTTTCCCTTTCTCCCCCTCCATGTTATGTTTCTGCCCCTTTGAGCCAGACCAGAAGGTCTGGAGGCTCTCCATCGTGGAAGGTAACTGCTGTTTCTCCTGTCTGGCTTTCCACAGACAGGGGAGGAGATGGGACAGGCAGGTCCCTAGGAGCACTGGGAAGGGCTCCAAGAAGACCGGAAGGGGACAGGAAGCCTCGGGACACCAACACAAGTGAGAGGCAGCTTGAAAAGCACCTCCCAGCTCCTCACCCCTGCCCCCACTCTGGCCATGCAGGAGCTGTGGCCTTTCTCACAGTTACAACAGAGCCACACACAGAGGACCCCCTGGAGGTGGAAATGTGAGAAGGGAGAGAGCCAGGTGATGTCTTCCCAGTGAAGATAATACTGAGCTCATTGCCTCTTCCCTAGACCAAGGTCCGGCCCAGCGTGCGAGGGGGGGGGAGCAGCAACACAGGAACGTCCTCTCTCCGCGGCTCCTCGGCCATCTTTCAGGCCCCGCTGCTGACGCCTGGGCTCACCCGGTAAAGAGAGCCCCTCTGGTATCTTCTGGCTGGGCCCCTCGCCTGAGCCTGGCCATCCTGGACTAACTGAGGGGTGGCGGTGTGGTTCGGTCGTGTTGGCAGAGCAACTGAGAGAAGGGATGCAGGGAGAAGGGAGAGACGCAAAGAGGCGGAGAGAGAGACAGCGCTGCTCAGGGGATGCTGCTGACGCCAGTCGGAACTTGCACTTGGTAAAGATGATAATCTAGACTGAGGCACGGCTTGGTGTGTCCCTCCCCCCAGGGGCCCTGGAAGGACGGTTCTCAGCTGTCTAAGCTCATGAGGGTTATGACTTGTTCTAGTTTGTAGGCCAGTTTCTGCTTCCCACACTGGTCGTCATGGTCCAGAGGTCCGAGGATCTGTTGAAGGGGCAAGAACAGGGGGGTTACGAGTCTGTGCGTTCACGTTCGCGTTCTTAGGGCGGGTGCGGTCAGGCTTGGGAAGCCATGTGTAAGTGCAGATGCACACGGAACGTTGCTGGGTCAGCAGGCAGCCTGGCTAACGCGGGCGCGGGGTGCAGTGTGTGGGTAGCCCTGTGTCAGTGAGCTCAGGGTGTCAGCACCTACATCAGCATGTCTGAATAAATGTGTGCACTTCACTGTCCACGGAAGACGGCTGGCAGTGGGCCGAAGACACCTGTGCAAAGATGCGCCAGTGACCTGCAGGTTAACAAGTGACCCCTGTAAAGTCCGGTGCCCTGTGTCTCTGGGGAATGGGACCTCACAGATATTAAGAAATCCCACCCTTCATCCAAAAAAAGGAATATCTTCCTTATCAGCATCACGAAGCCCCACGTCCCATATTTAGAAAGTCGTTTGGCTTTACTGTGCATTATCAAACAAATATCCTTCAAAGAGCCCTATCTCGAGCTTTCCTGGTCATCAGCGCCTCATGACAAAGTCTGCCAAAGCCTTTTCTGAGATCAGATGGTTGGTGAGGACAGTGATGGTGAGCAACTGTGGAACACGATGGAAAATGTGTTAGAATATGACTCAGGCTCAGGAGATACAGGATTGAATAACCAGTTTCTAGCGAGGTGATCTGGGGCAAAACATGTCACCTCTCTGAACCCTCACTGCCTCATCTGTAAAATGGGGGAACTATTGGTCCCCGCGTGGGCTGCTCCAGTGCAGAGGACAGAGTCACAGAACACACGCGTGTGCCCTTCCCACAAAGTCTGCTCCACAAGGGGTGCGTGAGACAAACAGGCATGCTTGTGCCGGTGCTGGGGCTGAGGGGCAGGGAGGCGGAGGAGGGTGAAGGCTCGAAGGGAGGCTCCTAGAGCCTTGGATTTCTTGGCCCACTTAATGCAGTTTTAATGGGGGAGACCAAGATGGAATTGCCAACTTCTTAGCTGGCCAAGAACTGCCAGTTACTGGCACCAGCATTTCACGAGGATGGGACATTTTCATACCACGAGCAGATGAGTGTCCTTGTAGACTAAAGGGCAGTCCTTCCAAGATGAGGCCGTTACACTCCCACGCTAACACACTCCGCATCGTCCTTACTTCTCTCACGTGGCCACGGACAGGTGAAAACTTTGCCCCAGACCAGCAATGGCCTGCAGTCTCGGTCCCTCCCCTGAGGGACTCACGGCTGGCTTCCCCTGCACTTGGCGTTCACAGCACTATGCTGCCCGTGGCCTGCTGGGGCTCCCTCCTTAGCCTGGGGTTCCTAGACCCTCTCTCAGTGACGAGATAGAGAGGAGGCAGAGAAGGGGGGCACTGGCTTTAGCTCCTGTTACTACCTTCTGCTCAAGGAGAAGGTGGTCATGCCGCTGCTCAGACAGAGGGAGCCTGGATTCTGAACCCACTTGGGCCAAGCCTGCATGACTAAGAAATCTGGAAGCACCTCTGTACTGGCCAGGAAGAAGGCCGTGTCTGCAGTGGCAATGACCCCAGGTGAGGTTTTCCACCTGGGGAACACAGCAAGTAAAATAGATGCCATTCCACTCTGCTCTGTATCTGTTCTGTTCTGATCCTGTCCCGTCCTGTCCTATCCCACCATACCATACCATTCAGCCACAGGAGTGGGAAACTGCTTGTTTAAAGAGGATTAGATCAGAGAGCGAAAAGGCAAAAATAAAAGGAGGGACAAGCAGGGAAGACACAAGAATTTTAAAAAGAAAAGGAAAGAAACAGACACTTTAAGTATCTGAGAACAGGACTGATGCGGAATTTACAGAATGGGGCATTCCTACGATCCCCATCTGTGGCACAGAGCCCCCAAATCCAGGGCGACAGACGGCTTCCCCAGCAGACACAGAGCGTGGTCTGGGGTTCCCGTGCTCTTGTGCATAGAGATTGCCACAGGCGGGGATTTTTCCATAGCTTCCCTGTCCTTCCCAGCAGGCGCCGGGCAGGGCGGGCTCACCTCCTCGCTGTACTTGCCCACGTAGGAGAAGATCTCCGAGAGTGCGCTCATGGCGTTGAACTCATTCATGTGCATCCGGGACTGCTCGGCCAGGTATGCGTTCATGTCCTGGTCGCTGATGGCCGGCATCTTCCCGATGTCCGAGTAATACCTACCAGGGAAGGGAGTGCGGAAGAAAGGAGCTGGAGCCGTGCATGCAAGAGTCGAGGACGGATGGATCCTCCTAGCACTGGGGCCAGTGGATGCCTGTGCGTGATCCCCTGGGGACCTGGCGGGCTCTCTCCCGCGTGTGCTTCAGGGGCTGGCCCCGGAGAGCCCTTCTACAGCTCTGGATGCTGGGGGCGCAGAGGGAAGGGATGTGGCCCAGACCTGGGCAGAGGGTGAACTGGGGTGGAAGCAGGACTACGGAGGAGCCGTTTCCTGCATGGGCCTTGCTCCTGGCCACCAAAGTGTGGTCCAGTGTGTCTCTGGTGTCCTTCTGACACCTCCTCCCACAGACGCAAGGGCTGGCGGGGGCCCCCCCCCCCCCCCCCCCCCCCCCCCGGGGGGGCCCCCCCCCCCC